CCAAATTGGGCCTCAGAGTATTTCATAGTGGTTAGAAGTTTGGATTTTATTCTGAATGCAATTGGAAGTCATTGAAGGGTTTGGAGCAGACATGATCTGATTTATATTTTCAAAGATCTCTGGCTGCTGTGTAGACAACAGACTGGAGGGAGCCAAGAGCAAGGGCAGGAAAAGTAGCCAGGGTGCATTTCAATTGTCTAGGTGGAGTCATGGAGATTTGGACTCACCCAATGGAGATGGAAAAGACCAAATGGATTCAGGAGATATTCTGGAGGTCAAACTGAGAGACTCGCTAATGGACAAGATGTGGGGAGTTAGCACAGGGAAGAATTCAAGGGTCAATTTTTTTCTTTTTTTTTGGTGGGGTGGGGAAGAGTTAAGTAGGTTAACTGCAAAGTAATCTGAAATGTTCTTTTTTATATTAAAGTATAGTAAGCCTTTAAAACTACTGCTTTGAATGACACTGCCCCTCCCAACACTTCACAGCTTAAATGTGAAGGCCACAATTTAAAAGTCACTCTCTCCCTGACCATCCTATGCAACGCAGTAAAGGCGCCCTGCTGCTTCTTACTCCCTCTCTCAGCCTCTTACATTGACTCCCTCTAGAATGAAAGGTCTTCCTCAGCAAGCGCCTTGTAGGTCTGTGTCACCACTGTCTCCTAGCACTCAGCACAGGTCTTACACAGGAGAGCACACGATGAATGAATGTACCACACAGTGACAAATACGTTATGGATGAAAATTTACATTTTCATGAATTTTTAAGATAAAACTTGATTAGCTGTCCCTCTGATCAGAATGGGGTTGATGTTCTGTGGTAGACGTTCATTCCCCTTCTCTGCTCCCAGCAGTACTTTAGGGAACAATGTTTGAGAAGTCCTGACCAGACTAGACTATCTCATTGGTGACATTCTAGGGGTCTTGTGAAAATACAGTAAATTAGCAGCAATGAGGTGATCTGTGACTCTAAACAGAGATGTTAAGAGGGAGTCCACTTGCCAAAGCTAACGTTTACCTTTCTAATTCCAAGTGAAATTTTGTAAGGGAAAAGAAGGAAAGAATGTCATAAGTCTTATTAACAATATTCTAAGAACTTTTCAAAAGGATCTTCAGACTAAAAAAAATTATCTTTCACATCAATAGGCAAGAATGGACAGGGGTAAGAAAAAGTTAATATGCTTCTGGTCCAATCTTTTAGCCTATGATAAAGAAAAACATACCTTCATTTCATAATGACACCAAATACTGAAATAAAGCCATGAAGAAAACTATTCTGCTTGGAAAATCCCACTTTGCAGCCTTCTCTCTTTTGTAGATGAAGTGATACCCATACTTCTGCGTCAATGTTAAAACTGAAATTATATCTGCCTCCCTTTCTCAAGTGTCTCTGGCATACCCAACATCCTGCTTCAGGAAGCTGGTAAAAGTTGGTGGGTAAAAGCATTTTTAAACAACAACAATAAAATACTAAGACACTCAGAAGGTCACTGATTGTGAGGGTGAACTTGACAAAAGGAGAACTTGATAAACTAAGACCCTTACTCACTAAAAAACAGATTAGTATATTTCATGGCTAAATCAAGGGACCTGACAGGCTACTCTTCATTATGTCAAAAACACACCCACCCAACTGTTAAAATTAGTAAAGAGGCTTCAGCTAATTCTTCTAAAACTGGATTCTCCACTTACAATTTTCTTAAACAGTGGAGACTTTCTGCCAATGCAGGTACATTCCAAATGTCAAGTAGGTCAGTAATAAAATGAAATGCTGGAGAGAAACTTTAAAAGAGACATTTAAAAATGGGCTTAAAAAATGGGCCCTAGCAGAGAACTGACTGGAACACACTGTGAAAAGATTACTGTAGTTCAGTACATGAATATTAATAGAAAAAATCCTGCAGTGTTCATAAATAGTTACGACTTGATGAAATAATTACAAATAATGTAAGTCAAAATTTTAGATCAGTTACAAGTGTCTGTAATGATATTCTATGCATAAAAAGCAAAAATATTTTAAAACTCTAAGGGTTTCCATTGACAAAGCTACTTACCTAGACAAAGAAATCTTTTGCTCAAATATCTACCACCTTCTGATTTTCTACAAATGAAAATTAGGGAGGGAGTGCCAGAGGGAAGGGCAACAGAGTATTTAAACATTGGGATAGTCATTAAACCCAAATCTTGATTTAATAACAAAATAGTTTAAGTTCTCAATTTATTATTATCATCAAACAGAGAGTTGTATATGGTCAGTCTGGAAAAAAAGATGAGAGAAGTTAAAGGTTTGTGGGTAAGTAAGAGAAGTTCACTATCAGCCTATCAAAGGATTTTTGAAATCTTGTTCTAGTACAAACAGTGTGAGAATTCTTGACTCCACATGGCACGTGCTGTTTAATCTCAAGTGGTATTTCTCCCCTCTCATTTAAGTTAAATAAGAGGAGCAGAGAGACAAGTCTTCTGCATTCAATGAGGTGAAAGCTGTTTGAAGACACGGCTGAACACTAATTCTGTTCCGGACACGGGGCATGGCAGGACCTTCTCGCAAAGACTGAGCAGGTCATTGTGGTAGAGGCTCTGGAAGCGCAGGATGAATGTCTCTGACCTGGCACCTCCTGCCACAAAGTTCATGACTAAGTTCACATGTCATAATGGGTGAGTGCTAAGTATTTCACAGCCAACTGTGAGCACTAACAGACATTTTTTTTTTTTTTTTGGTAAATGTACTTGTGTTTCCCTCTGTGACAAAAGGATATTCTTCTTTTCATTAATCACCCTCCAAAACAAGTCCACTCCACAATACAAAGTTCAAAAATACAAAATATACCTTGCCTTTACCAACCTAACCTTAAATAAACATCTTTGCCAAACTGGAGATCCTTCTATTTCACGAGACAGACTTAATAAAGGAACATAAGGAGCCTCTTATTTTAAAAAGCTTTTTGGATTAAGAAAATGGACAGTAATTTATGTAAATACATCAATCTCAATTGAGTTCTCTAGTATGAAAAGGAATAAATAATGCAGATCACCGTTTTTCGGATGAGTCCTCACTCTGCCACGGATATGGCAAAGACTCTGATGGAAATGGCAGGGATGTTACACAAAGGTGCACATAAATAAATGTGTGTATGATAAACGTGGTTGCTGGAGACGGACATAGATAAATGGGTATGCAACTGGACAGAGATGGCTGGAGACAGAGGGAAAGACACTGGCTCAGCTGTATCCCAGTAAGTTCACGGAGGTTTCATGTCTAAAAAATCTGAAACAACAGAATTTCTATTAAGAAGATTAAAAAAGTTAGTTCCACCTCCTCTTGGACAATTCAGAATAATGCTATCTTAAGGATAAGTCACGAACTACACTATTATGTAAAAAAATTTAAGGATAAAATAAGAGAAAAAAGCAGGATCCTAAAGGAAGATGAATGCTTATTAAATATCTTTAAATATCTAAGGCTGTTTCAATGCTATTAGATTGGCACCTAGAACCCCAAAATATCTACTATCCCCTGGGAAGGAGAGGCTACGCCTCTTCAATCATTCCTTAAATGCAAAGAGGTTTGACCCCCATGCAATGGATAAAAGTCACCCAAAAAAGGAACAAAAGAGGTGTTTGGAAAAACCAGAACACCATTCATCCCAGCTAACGACTTGTTCATTATGAGTGATGATGGATAAAGACTTCTCATGCTGAGATGAAATCAAGATTTATATGCATTGTTTCCTCTCCCAACTTGTGGGAAGATCATCATCATTTAATTCTATCTCTGCGGCCAGTGATGGGCATCCAGAGAGCTGGTTATCAAACGGCGCAGTCAGCTGGCAAAAGCCGAAACGTGCAGTTGGCACATCTGGACGGAGCCGCCACAGCCGAGGGTGAACAATGACTCCTGGCAAGCATCCAAATTGCTTGCAGACGCTAGCAGGTCTCATCTACAACCGCCCCTACCAGCATCTCTCTCTCTCTCTCTTTTTTATGAGAATCAGATTTTCATTGCTCCATTCAATTGCTCTCCTCTGCCATTTTTTACAGCTCTTATCGTTCCCCTGGAATATGGCCTTGAGACAGCTCATCCGTGTCCTTCACTGTGTTATCTCTTCTAACTTTTATTAAAACTTCAGCTTTCATCTGAAGATAGCTAATTAAATCTGGAACAGATTATATGCCTCCCCTTAAAAAGAGCACAAAACTATTTTCTTCAAACTGAGCAATGCTTTTTTTCCTTTCCAAAAGATGAAACCAAAGATGTTTAACAAGTCTCATTTATTTACAAAGCTAGTTGGCAGGTCATATATAGGTTGATTCATATTAAAGTTGTCTGTGGTATGACAAATCTTTGAGCTATTTCTCAAAATAATTATTTCTCAATACTGGTAATATTTTCCTTCACATCCTTTAAACATCACAGCTAACACCAGAAGCTGATTTTCTGTATAAAGTTGGGGAATGAGGAATTAGAGATTAACAGGTATTTGTGCGCATCAAGCGATTTATCTTTTTGAAGTCTTTTTACAGTTGCCCTCATTTGGTAAAAATGAAAATGTTTTCTTTTATTTTATACCCTAAACACTAGCAACCAAAAGTTTCTCCTATGGACAATGACATGAAAACATGAAATTAAAAGCATTGCTTAAAATTTAGGATTGATTTGATTTTTAAGACAGCTTTACACCAACTAACAGTTAGCTTAAGTAGCTTTGTCTTAATCTATCACAAATTATTAATGATGGAGCTTCCATAACTGATATGAACACACTCTTCTCACATATGCCACTGATCCAATCCCTTCCTTGGGCCGAGGGGCAGTTTAAAAACCACTTTTTTGTTGTAGATCTGCTTATCAAACCTTTTGGTAATGATGTCTGAAACAACCTGGCCAGCCATCACACACACACACACACACACACACACACACACGCGCGCGCGCGCGCGCGCCCCAAGTCCTTTTAACAAAGGGTTAAAGCTCCTGTGGCTGGGGTATGATTTAACTGTCCCACCTGAAATTTTCTGGGATCCTTTTCTTCGCTTCACTGCCTTTAGCAAGATTTCTTTCATGGTGACCTTTGTGTTGTCCACCTGAATAAGGGAGAATCCATGAGCAGCATTTCTGTAGGAAAAGACAAATATTAAATCATTACCAACATTCAACCAGAGGGATGCTAATGTGGTCTTCATTGTGTTTAAGAAAGTTTTAATAAGTATACATTGAAGCGCCAATTATTTAAAAATAGGTTAAATAAAACTATTTCTAGTGTGTGTAGGGGGAAGCATTCTTGTGTGAACAGTTCTAAGTGATAGGTCAGAGTTATGGAAGGTTTTTCTAATTTATCTCAAATTGAATCTAATGGTCTGTGTGGGTCACTGCTACCATGGGTTCCTAGTGTTGGCTCCCAAGCCAAATCCTGCAGCAAGGACTGACAAACGATAAAGTTGGCTTATGTCAGTAGATGTCACTGTAGGCAGATACTACCATCATATTAAAGCTCAGGGAGCCCTGGAGGAAAAATATCGTGGGGTTGGGGTCAGGGGATAAGATAGCCCAAAGCAATTTAGAATAAGGAAAAGAAAGGCTCTTTCTAACTGGCTAGTAAATCTATTTTTTTAATATATAGTCTCTGCACACTTCAGTAGGAATATTTTAAAATACTTAGTCCTAGAAGGTCAAATAAAGTACCAGCTGAAGCATAAATAATTACAAGACAAATACTAACACTACTTGTAAGCTTCCAGCCAATCAACGGATGGGGGGCAGTGGGGGAGAGGTTCATCTAGATAGGAAAAAACTGGTAAGGAACAAGTACCCTGAAAACAGAAGCCCATCCCTGGGTGAGGAATAACTTCACTAAGACTGTTAATTGCAATAGCAAGGATCACAAATACTACTCACTATGCTTGGGCACTGGAACAAAACAGGCCAATTCCAAGCAACTCATGTAACAAATGGGACCCAAGTTTCCAACTATGGAACATGGGAATTGCCACAAGGAGTTTGGTCGCATTCCCATTTCCCCACAAGAATCTCAAAAGGGAAACACAGCCAAAAAACATGGCAGAACTTCATATTGACAAGAAATCTGAAAGAAAAGCCAAACCCCAAGCTAAGCTATGGAAAAGCTTCCCAATGGTAGGACAGGCTGGGAAGGGGCCTTAAACCCAGCTTGGACCCAACCAGGTGGCTGGCTTTCCACAGGGGCTGGGGGCCGATCTCAAAACCAAGGACCCAATTTGCTTCCCTAATACAAAGACATCTCCACACCCCTCCTCTCCATACGGCTTGCTGTTTAATCCTTGACATTCCATTTGTTAAAAAGCAAAAGCCGATGCTAGTCTAGCCAGCACGATCATCCATTTTAACTTGGTCAAGTTCTTGCTATCGAACAGCAGGCCTGAGAACTGTCAAGCTAATTTTACTGAACACTCTGTTACTGAATCATGCCTGAGCCCCGGCCATTCTTCACCTCAGAAGCTGGACCCCATCCCAGAACAATCTTTAAAAGTTTATTTTACTGATCAAAGCAAAATAAGAAATAGCTCTTTTTTTAAAACTATATTTAGGGAGCGATGCAGTAAGTGATACTTTGGCAAGAGTACTGAAATGTAAAGTGCCTTGTGCATTTATAAAGTTGGGGATATTTGCTCTGGCGCTAGTCCAGTGTATGTTTGGAACAAATGCCAATCACCCTCGTTCCGACTCGCCTTCCCCTGCTTTCTCCTCGGAAGTCGGTATGTGCTCCATCTGTGACAATATGTTGGGAGATGGATGAGTAGGGCCTAAAAGGGAACACAAGTTCTCGGGTACTCACAAACTAGTCCTAGGCTAGATCTCACGAACTTCCACCCACCTGAGTTCCACCTGAACTATTTTAGATTTGCGTCTGCTTAGAAATTGCTTACATTCTCTCCTAATGTGCTGCTGGCTGACAGCATTATTTCAAAGCAATCCGTTTATCTTTTTCAGCAAAGGCAGACTAAAAGCTCAAAATGAAGCCTTGTGTTTGGACTAACTTCCATAAATTAAAAGTGTCCTTTTAAAAGATTTTTGAACAGAGGAAAATCCCTAGTCTGTATTTTTCTGTCATTTTACCAAAACGTACCTGGGTGACAAGGTTAAAGCAAGCAGAGGAAATCCCTGGCACTTATCATCCACAGGCATTACTGATAAATTGTGTGGTGGAGGAATAAAGGATTACCTTCTGTATTTTTTCATTACACTTTTCTTTTGTTACAGAATACATAAATCCGTTGTGGCACAATGTAATATGTATCACCAGGCTACACCTGCGGACGCTTCCGAGCGGCTGCCATGTCTGTGCAGTCAGGAATGATAAGTGAACCACCCGTGAATGTTAACGATAGTGATCATTCTGAGGTAACTCGGCTCTCCATCTTCCTTTACAGCCTTCGTGCCGAAGCCAGGGTAGCAAGGTTCATGAGAGGAAAATGAAAACAACAGTGAAGGGAAGGGCCTTCACAAGTGTGTGGGATCTTACTCTGGGGCTCCATTTCGGTAAAAACGTGCACATTAAAGGGAGAAAGAGGTTGTGACTGGCGTACTGCGCACTCAACTGGACCTAATGAAAGCTTCCTTGGGTCAGTCTCACAATCACTTGCTCCTCTCCCTCCAGACAAATGCCAACTTTGGATCTTGTTCCAAGTCTATAGCACTTAAGGGGTGAAATGTTTCTGAAACACAGGAGTACAGAATATAAGTGGTTCTCAGAATCTATCTAGGTGCAACTGTTAATAAATGGATATGGAGACTTGCTGCCACAATTTTCAGCTTGACTTCCAAACATTCTTGGTTTTATGCCTCATTTCTTCATATCCGGGACTTTTTATGGGCTTTCTAAAAAGTCTATTGAAATACATCTTTTAAAGCCGCTTTTATTTAATGTTGGCATTGGGTCTGAGACCGAGAAGACAAAGATCTTGGGGGAAATGCTGGTGGCATCCAGGTAGGGTGCCAGTCCTGCCTCCCTTCCTTGTGGCACTGCATTCTAGTATCTGCGTTGTGACCTGTGCTTGGGTGAGTGGCCGTCAGATGGACAGACAGATGGATGGATAGACAGATGGGCTACAAACCCAGAGTGTCGGCTCAGAAATGGCTCCTCCTCCTGCTCCCCTCGCGGAGAGACAGCTTGTTTTCCGCTAGTGCAGGGCACTCTAGGGGCACCGAGCAGAAGCAGCTGCCCTTCCACAGCTCCTTGGGCTGCCTGTGTTGGGTCTAGGATGAAGCGCCACTTCAGGGAGCTGACTAAATGCTGTCAGGAGTGCTTCAGTCAATTCAAAGTTAGGTCCTGTCAAGTCTTGTAACCACTGAAAAACGTACAGGCATTTTAAAAAGAGATTACTCACTTGAGGAATTCAGCTCTCTCCCATTTCAAAGCCACTCAGTTACCACTGGGAAGTTTTTATACCAGCATTAACCTAACACAATGAGCCTTTCTTTACTAAGTATTAAGCTAAAGGTGACAGAGGACAGGGAGGAAGTAGGGGCACAGGTCTTCATCTGAAAAGCTTAGATTTTATTTATAGGGACAGAGCCGGAACCAGAACCCAAGTTGGAAGGCAACATATTGGAGAGAAAAACTCATGGGCTGGGAGTTAAATACCCTTTGGTTCAAATCCTGGTTCGACTGCTAACCAAAATATTGCCATAATACGTGGGACCCTCAGCTGCATCCATGAAATGAGCGGGCCACTTTGCTACAGAATTGTCAGCAGGATAAAACAGACAATGAGTGCCAAGCACCTGGCACTAAGGCTGGCAAACGTAAAAGCAGTTTACAAATCTTGGTTCTCTCGTGTTCCCCTTGTCCCAAGTCACTGCCCCAAGAGAAAAGCCCCATGCATCCTCTCTCCTCTTAGCCCACCCCAGCTGAGACTGCTTTTTTGGGGGAAGGGAACTCAACCCTGATTGCTTATAATTGGTAACTCAGGGCCATTAAAATGTGCAAATTTGCTGGGCATGGTGGCAATATTCAGGGGCACTGTTGGCAATAGCCTCTGGCCCAGTCATCAAAGCCCCCTAGGCTCAAAGGAGAGCACCCTGGGCTCAGTTTTAAAGGCCTTCTGTTTTGAGAGAGTAAACCAGGGAAGTAGGTATGTTCCCCCTCAGCTTAACTCATTGGCTTTCAATGGGGATGTTGGAAGTCAAAAACCATAGTGGTGTTGCAGAGAAATTCCATGAGACTTATCAAGAGTTTTTTGATCTACACAGTACAAGATGTTATTATTATTCAATAATTACAACAATAATAACAGCAACTACTACCTACTGAATACTTCTTATGTGCCAGGTGCTGTGTTAAGCTTTTAAAATTTGTATTAACGCATTCGATCCTAAAATAGGTACTATTATTATACCCATTTTACAGACACTGAGGCTGGAGGCATGGGGAATTTACCTGAGGTCACTCATCTACTAAGAGCCTATTTTGGATCCTATTAAGAAATCAACAACATGGTCCCTAACCCAAGTAGCACAGTCCAGCAGGAGAGAAAGACAAAGCAAACAAAGAATTCTAGTTCTGTGCTGAGCACGAGGATGGAGGCAAGCTCAGAGTGCTGCCAACACAGGGGCACTTCACCCAGCCAGGTAGGGCTGAGGGGCCAGAGAGGCTTGCTAGTGGAGATGTCTCAAAACACAGTTGTCTTTTAGCTCTATACTATGTTAGAAAGATGGTGACACCAGAAGGCAGCAGAGCACAGCAAGCTCTAGAGCAGAGCCTTCCTTGGGTAAATAAGATAATCTAACTTCCATCTACATCTACCTCCATTTTCGTCTACACAATGGAGATAATTCTTAGATCGTAAAACTGTCGTGACTGTGTTAACTATTTTAAAATAGTAAACATAATACTTGTCATATAATAAATACTTAATAAGCAATAGTTAACATATTACAATAATTATGGGCTTTGCTTTATATGTACAAAGAAGTGATATATAATGATGAGACAGTGACATAGCCAACATTGATTGAGCACTTGTTTTGTTCATTTAACTCCCCCAGAAAAGGCAGGTGCTTTAATCAGTCTCATTTCATACTGGAGGAAATTGAGGTTTGGCAGGGTTAAGACACTTGCCTGGAGTTACTCAGCTAAC